AACACGGTGAAATTCTGTCTCTACTAAAAATACAAAAATCAGCTGGGCATGGTGTCACGTGCCTGTAGTTCCAGCTACTCAGGAGGCTTAGGCAGGAGAATCTCTTGAACCCAGGAGGCAGAGGTTGCAGTGAGCCAAGATCGTGACACTGCACTCCAGCCTGGGTAACAGAGGGAGACTCAGTTAAAAAAAAAAAAGAGAGACAAGAAGGAAATATAAATTTGGGACATACCAGCATATAAATCATTAAAACCAAGAGAATAGATATCATACAGGAAAAATATGGCAAAGAAAAATAGAGTGTTTGGGATGGACACCAGCCATTAAAATCAGGCAGAAGAATCCATGGTGACAGAGGAAGAACAGCCAGAGGAGTAGGAAAAAATCAAGAGGTTATGCTCCTCAGAGTAAAAATGGTTTGGAAGAGGTGATAGATACCAGTGTCAAATACTTCTGAGAAGTCAAGGAAGATGAGGCCTCAAAGTGATCATGACATACCTATCAAGACCTCTGGGTTTCCTGGGAGTGTCACTCAGAATAATCCTAGGTAGGAAGGTCAGATACTGGAGCTTCCATACTGCTAATGGCTATATGTGTGAGCTGACTTATGCCTTTTCCTTTCTTGTTCCAATACTGCAGGACCCAAACCTTACCACTACACTCAGCCTGGCCTTATACATTCTGACTTCTAGAAAGTCTCAAATGGAAAGGGCTACAAACCACAGTTGGACATCCTGGAAAGGGTGCCAATCCTGGCACATCCCTAACTTTCTCTTTGACCCTAAGGAAGCCATAGTTCTCCTGTTGGCCTCAGTTTTCCCATTAGTAACTAAGAGGGTTAGAGGGAATAATCTGTAAGGGCCCCCTCCCAATCCTCATATTCCATGATCCAATAAACCCCATGAAGAGAGAGTCTAGCTTTTTCTGAGCAGGGAGCATTTTAAAATCTGGCTTTTTGGCTGATGCCTATAATCCCAACACTTCGGGAGGCTGAGGCAGGAGGATCGCTTGAGCCCAGGAGTTCAAGATCAGCCTGGACAACACAGTGAGACCCTGTCTCTAAAAACAAAAACAAAAAAAAGCTGTGCATGGTGGCACATGCTTGTAGTCCCAGCTACTTGGGAGACTGAGGCAGGAGAATTGCTTGAGCCCAGGAGACTGAGGCTGCAGTGAGCCATAATGGCACCACTGTACTCAAGCCTAGGCGACACAGTGAGAACCTGTCTCAAAAAAATAAATAAAAATAAAAATTAGGTCAGGTGCAGTGGCTTATGCCTATAATCCCAGCACTTTGGGAGGCTGGGGCGGATGGATCACCTGAGGTTTGGAGTTTAAGACCAGCCCGACCAACATGGAGAAACCCCATCTCTACTAGAAATACAAAATCAGCCAGGCACGGTGGCACATGCCTGTAATCCCAGCTACTCAGGAGGCTAAGGCAGGAGAATTGCTCGAACCTGGGAGGTGGAGGTTGCAGTGAGCTGAGATAACGCCATTGTACTCCAGCCTGGACAACAAGAGTGAAATTCCATCTCAAAAAAAAAATTTAAAAATTAAAAATTAAAATTAACTAATTTAATTTCAAAAATCCCGCTCTGATGTAAAAGCTTGCTCAGAAATCACAGGCTATGGTTTTCTTTTCTTTTTTTTTTTTGAGACAGAGTTTCACTCTTGTTGCCCAGGCTAGAGTGCAATGGCTCAATCTTGGCTCACCACAACTTCCACCTCCAAGGTTCAAGTGATTCTCCTGCCTCAACCTCCTGAGTAGCTGGGATTACAGGCATGCACCACCATGCCCAGCTAATTTTGTATTTTTATTATAGATGAGGTTTCACCATGTTGGTCAGGCTGGTCTCAAACTCCTGACCTCAGGTGATCCACCTGCCTCAGCCTCCCAAAGTGCTGGGATTACAGCATAAGCCACCATGCCCAGCCACAGGTTGTGTGTTACTTAACCATGGGCAACAAATCACAGGGCTTTGAGTGGTTCCCTAACTCTGCAGCCAGGTACAGAGCAGTCAGAAGTCATCAAACACAATGATGAAAGGATTCACCCGAATAGGTATTTGACTTCAGAGAAAGCTCTGCGCTTTAAGTCTCTTTTTGGTGCCCTTGTACAATGAGAGGTAGCATAGGATTGGTGGTTAAGTACAGCTTCAAATCCCCATTTATGAGCTGTGTGACTTCAAGCAAGTTACCTCAGCCTTCCTGTGCACTACTTTTCTCTATCAAAAAATTAAGAAAATAATACCTACTTTGTAAGATTATGACTAAATGAATTAATATTTATAAAGCACTTAGAACAGCAGTTGGCATGTAACACATGATTGTTAAATTAAATAATGCACACATACAAGCATGCACATGCTGTTTCACCTGTGTCTCTGCCCTGTCTTCTGGAGTATCAGCTTCATTTTTACGCATAGCCCTCAGGCAGCTCCATGTACCCTCCTCATGCTAGCAAAATAGACAAACACTATCTTTATACTACATCATGTAGGGAAAGAGAGACACATCCCACATCCCCCCCCCCCCACTTTTTTTTTGAGATGGAGTCTCGCTCTGTCCTTCAGGCTGGAGTACAGTGGTGGGATCTAGGTTCACTGTAACCTCTGTCTCTCGGGTTCAGATGATTCTCCTGCTTCAGCCTCCCAAGTAGCTGGGATTACAGGTGCATGCCACCACACCTGGCTAATTTTTGTATTTTTAGTAGAGACAGGGTTCACCATGTTGGCCAGGCTGGTCTTGAACTCCTGACCTCAAGTGATCTGCCTACCTCAGCCTCCCAAAGTGCTGAGATTACAGGCATGAGCTACCATGCCCTGCTAAAAGCACATCTCTTTTAATTGCTGCCACAGAACAGAAAGAAAGCTTTTCTTTCCAAAAAATGTTTATTCTCTGGTTGCCTCAGGAGAAACAGCAGGTCAAAACAGAGCAAGTCAAAACGGAGCAGGTCAAAACTCCCATGCTAATCAGTAGTGGGATTTCGCCTGTGAATTGGCACTGTACTCCAGCCTTGGCTATATAACAAGTACCTGTTTAGAAAATTTTTTTTTCATTACAAAAATTTAGTATGTTTTCTTCTCTCTTGCTGTAATTGGCTAATGTGGCTATAGGAAGTTATTCCTGAAGGTAGGATGAGGTCAGTCCCATCCAAACCTACCACTCAACAGAAGACATGACTCAACGTGGACAGGTCCCCAGAGGAAGATCAGGGTATGATTTGACCAAAGGATTGAAGATGTTTACTACAGTCTCTGCTAGACACCAAGCACCATGCTACATTCTGTAGACATAATGCTCAAAGACACAATTCCTGCCCTCTGGGAGTTCACAGGAGAACAGTGATGAGGAAACATTTATAACAGCACAAGGAGAAAATCATGAACTTGAGAACACAGAGGAGCTCACACTGCTCAGCCACCTCAAGGAGTGAAGGGGTATAAAACAGTGAAAGTGGGGGGTTGTCATGGAGCTTCCCAAAAGAGGTAAATTAAAAAACAAATTTTTTTACATTAGGTTTTACACACAGGCTCCTATATGAGAAAGGAGTGCATCTTGAAGGATAAGTAAAGCTTTATCAAGTATAGATGGAAGAAAGGATTTCTAAGCACAGAGCACCACAACAGCAAAAGCATAAAAAACACAAGAAAATGGGAGTAGCTGGGAATGACTGGAGCATAAAGTACATTCAAGAGCAAAGAGAAGAGGAAGCAGTCAGGGCAGAGTGGTGAGGCATGGGGCTGGAAAGGTTGTAGGACCGCAACATCAGGCTGTGCTGACATTTATGCCAAGATTTACATGGCATTGACATAAACTCAACAGTTGATCTGGGTAAGTGTAAAGAATGAGGAAAAGATCAGGTAAAAAAAAAAAAAAAAACAACCTGAAAAGGTGTTACCACGGAGGTGGAAGGACCCAAGCAAAACAGAAGGAAAAACATTTTTTTTTTTTTTTTTGAGACAGGGTCTTGCTCTGTCACCCAGGCTAGAGTGCAGAGGTGTGATCTTGGCTCACTACAACCTCCACCTCCCAGGTTCAAGCAATTCTCCTGCCTCAGCCTCCCAAGTAGCTGGGACTACAGGTGCACGCTGCCGCCCCCGGCTAATTTTTGTATTTCTAGTAGAGACAGGGTTTCACCATCTTGGCCAGGATGGTCTCGAACTTCTGCCCTCATGATCCACCTGCCTCAGCCTCCCAAAGTGCTAGGATTACAGGTGTGAGCCACTGCGCCCAGCCAGAAAAACATTTAAAAGGGAAGGATAAGAAGGGGCAGTTGCTGCAAAGAGATTAGGGAGGCTAATTCCTGAGAAGATTTGTGATTAGTAATTAATATTGACTTTAACCTCTGATAGAACGGTTTCAGTGATAGTAAAAGGGCCAGGTTTGCTTGGAATTTAGTGAATGGGATTTAAAGTTGAAGTGATGATGGTAGGCTACTCTTTTGTTTGTTTGTTTGAGATGAATGCTTTATTGCCCAGGCTGGAGTGCAGTGGCACTGTCTCGGCTCACTACAACCTCTAACTCCCAGCTTCAAGCAATTCTCCTGCCTCAGCCTCCCTAGTAGCAGGGACTACAGATGCGTGCCGCCACACTCAGCTAATTTTTGTATTTTTAGTAGAGACAGGGTTTCACCATGTTGGCCAGGCTAGTCTTGTGATCCACCTGACCTCATGATCCACTCTGACCTCATGATCCACCTGCCTCGGCCTCCCAAAGTGCTGTGGATTATTGGCATGAGCCACTGCATCTGGCCAGCTCTCTTTGAAAATATTTATGTTTTGCAAAAGACATGTATCCAAAATAAAATATGCACTCAGTAATTCCCCTTCAGAAATTTACATTAAAGAATCAGAAATATGTGCAAAGATGTATCACAAAGATTGTACTATTATTAATTATAGAAAGTAATAGAGAATAACTTTGTGGTTATGGTTTAAAATGGCTAAAATTACAATGCATTCATATAATGAAAAGTTTAATGAAGTGATTAAAAAATAATTTTGCAGAAGAATATTTACTGGTAAAGTAAAAGTGTCAGATTACAAAATACAACATCCAGAATGCTCTCAATGTTGAAATAAATGAATATTATGTATGCATAGAAATAAGATTGGAAGGATATAAGCCAGAATGTGAACCTCGGTGGCTACCTCCAGAAGTGTGATTACAAGTATTTGAAACATGTTTGGTTATTTGTACTTTCCATTTTCTACTATAAATATATATTACTTTTGCAATGAAAAATATTAAGAGCTTGACAATAGTGAAAGGAGAAAGGGATTAGCTTCAAGGGAAATATGAATGAGGCTTCTATAGTTTGAGGAAGACTTGAGCTTATTTATGGGTCAAGGGAAAAGGATAGGAGAAATTAAAGTTATATGAGAGGAAATAATGGGAGGAGCCTGCCCTGGGGAGAGAAAAGGGGAACTGGGGACGGAGGCTCTGGGGAGATGAGTTGAGGATGGCAAAGAACCCAAAGGCAGCAGGAAAAAGAATTGTTCACGGATGCATGATCACCTGCCACTGTGTTGAGAGCAAAGAGGGGATTAAGGAGATGGAGGAGAGTGGAAAAGGTTTATAACAACTGCTATGGGGAATTAGGAAGTCAATTAGCAACAAAAAAAGGGGGGGACTGCAGAAAGCCTCCAAAGGAGGGCCCAGCTGCCTCTGAGGAGCAGGACTTGATTCCATTGCCAATTAATTTAGTAGCTGCAGCTAAAGAGGAAGTATGTGGCGTGATCCATCCAATGAATGTCCAAATATCCAGAAAGTGGACCCAGAATAACTAAAACCACTAAGGACTATATTAACCTATTAACTAATTGAAGCACTGCTTCCTTCTTCTAGTTTGGCCCCAGGGAGTTGTACATCTTCACTATAACTATTATTTTTAAAAATAAATAAGGGAGGTGAACAAAGTAAAATGAAAAAGGGTTTACAAAAATGACATTTTATCAGCCCAAATGAAGAAGTGTCAAAATACCACTAACACATTCAACCAAAAGATAAAGCTGTTCTCAAGGGTTGCTGGTGCTCATTCACATCTAGATGAATGTCTGTAGAAGCCTTCCTAGTGTCTCACTATAAACACTGTTGTTTTGCTTTGGCCTTACAGGTAGGTGATTACAAAGGATTCTAGTCACATAAATAAATGATACCAGATTTTTCCAATCTGGCCAGTCTAATCATTATAATTCACCTGGAAGGAAAAGTATAAGAAATTCAGGATTGCTAACAATCAAGCAGAATCCTCTTATAATGTAGTTTGTGCTTAAGGAAATTATTTCCTGGACTGAAGGAAAAGAGCTACCATCTGTTAAGCACCTATTATGTGCATGTTCTTTGTTAAGCCCTTTATGTTCACTATTTGTATGTAATCGTCACAACCATTCTGCAAGGTAGATGTAATTTTCCTCATTTTACAGATGACGAAGCAGCTCAGAGGTGGTAAATGGTAAAGATGATAGTACCTGCCTCATAAAACTGTTTGTGTATTAAACAAGGTAACATCTGTAAAGCATTTAACACATAGCACTTAGTATGTAGTATACTCCCCATAAGCATTAGTTATTCTAATGATGTAACCATAATAATATACCAGCATTTATGCTATTGTTTGAAAAAATAAGATGGATCTTCTTATCATCATCCATACTTCACAACAAACAAAACTGGTTTACCCAAGGTTCCAGTGAGCTCTCTATAGCCAATATTTCAGTAATCACTTTCACCAGGCTCTACTGGGTCATCATCCTTCCACACTAGATTTGAATTTATGTTTTCTCTGTGTTCCCAAATAACTTGGCAATCCCTTAGGCACACATTGCTGAGGCTGAGGCCAGCCCAGAGAAGCAGCTTAGGTTCCAGCCAGAATAAATTTGGCATCAAAAAAGTGCTGCACATAGGGAAAGGAAAATCTTTTTATCAAATGGTGTCAGGGAAACTATATGTTCCCAGACACAAGAATTAAGTTGGACTCCACATTATATCATATACAAAAGTTAACTCAAAATGGATCAAAGACATAAATATGAGACATAAAACCATAAAACTCTTAGAAGAACACAGAGGGAAAGAGCTTCATAACAATGGATTTGGCAGAGAATTATTAGATACCAAAGGCACAGACAATGAAAGAAAAAATGGACTGCATCAAAATTAAACACTTTTGTGCATCAAAGGACACTATCAAGAGAGAAAAGGCAACCCACAAAATGGGAAAAATAATTGTAAATCATATATCTGATAAGAGATTAATATCTAGAATATATAAAGAACTCCTATAACTTAAGAACATAAAAACCAAATATTCCAATTAAAAATAAGCCAAAGACTTGAATAGCGATTTCTCCAAGGAAGATATACAGTTAACATTCACATGAAAAAATGCTCATCACTAAACACTAGGAAAATGCAAATCAAAATCTCAATGAGGGCTGGGCACGGTGGTTCCTGCCTGTAATCTCAGCACTTTGGGAGGCCAAAGCAGGCGGATCACGAAATCAGAAGTTCAAGACCAGCCTGACTAACATAGTGAAAATTCGCCTCTACTAAAAATACAAAAATTAGCCAGGCATGGTAGCGCATGCCTATAGTCCCAGCTACTCAGGAGGCTGAGGCGGAAGAATCGCTTGAACCTGGGAGGCAGAGGTAGCAGTGAGTTGAGACTGCACCATTGCACTCCAGACAGAGTGAGACTCTGTCTCAAAAAAAAAAAAAAAAACACCACCAGAATGAGATACCACTTCACATCCATTAGGGCAGCAATTATCAAAAATTGGGAATAGGCGGGGTGCAGTGGCTAACGTCTGTAATCACAGCACTTTGGGAGGCTGAGGCGGGCAGAACACGGAGGTCAGGAGTTCGAGACCAGCCTAGGCAATATAGTGAGGCCCCCGTTTCTATTCTTTAAAAGAAAAATGGAAATAACAAGTAGATGTGGAGAAATTGGAACCCTGTGCACTGCTGACAAAATGTAAAATGGTGCATTTGCTATGGAAACAGTATGGTGGTTCCTCAAAACATTAAACATTGAATTACTACATGATTCAGCTATTCCACTCTGGGTATTTTCAAAAAATAATCGAAATTAAGGACACAAACAGATATTTGTACAGCAATCTTCATGGCAGCATTATTCACAACAGCCAAAAGGTAGGGATAACCCAAATGTCTACTGACAGATGAATGAATAAACAAAATGTAGTATATACAGACAATGAAATATTATTCAATCTTAAAAAGGAAGGAGATTCTGGAACATGTTACAACATGGATGAACCTTAAAAACATAATGCTAAGTAAAATAAGCAAGACATGGCCAGACTGGGTGGCTGGCTCACACCTGTAATCCCAGCACTTTGAGAGGCCGAGGTGGGCAATCACCTGAGGTCAGGAGTTCAAGACTAGCCTGGCCAATATAGTGAAACCCTGTCTCTACTGAAAAATACCAAAAATTAGCTGGGTGTGGTGGCAGACACCTGTAATCCCAGCTACTTGGGAGGCTGAGGCAGGAGAATTGCTTGAACCCAGGAGGCAGAGGTTGCAGTGAGCTGAGATCACGCCATTGCACTCTGGCCTGGGCAACAAGAGCAAAACTCTGTCTCAAAATAATAATAATAATTAGCAAAACACAAAAGGACAAATATTATATAATTCCACTTATATGAGGTGCTTAGAAATATGAGGTCCAATTCTTAGAGACAGAAAGTAGAAGAGTGGTTGCCAGGGGCTGGGGGAGGGACTAATGGGCAGTTATTGTTTATGGACATAGAGTTTCAGTTTGGGATGTTGAAAAGTTCTGGAGGTGGATAGCCAGGCCAGTTGCACCACAGTGTGAATGCACTTAATGCCACTGAATTGTATGCTTAGAAACAATAGTAAAATTTACATTGTGTGTGTGTTTGTGTATACATGTATATGTATATATACATAATTTTTTTTTTGAGACAGAGTCTTGCTCTGTCACGTAGGTTGGAGTGCAGTGGCATGATCTCAGCTCACTGCAACCTCCCCCTCCCTAGTTCAAGCTATTCTCCTGCCTCAGTCTCCCAAGTAGCTGTGACTACAGGCATGTGCCACCACACCCAGCTAATTTTTGTACTAATATTTTTAGTGGAGACAAAGTTTTGCCATGTTGGCCAGGCTGGTCTTGAACTTCTGGCCTCAAGCAATCCACCTGCCTTGGCCTTCCAAAGTGTTGGAATTACAGGCATGAGCCACTGTGCCTGGCTGGTACATTGTGTATATTTTATCACAATTAAAAAATGTAGTAAAAAAAGTGCTGCAGATAGAAAAACAAAGACAAGAAATAAGTACATTTAAAGCCTCACAACAGTTACCTTTGGAGTGTGCATTACAAGCAATTTTGTTTTCTTCTTTATACGTTTTCTTATTTTCTACAGTTTCTTTGATGAGCTTTTAAAATGAGGGAAAAAAAGTTTGGGTCTTTTTTTAACTGCCGTCTCTCCACTGGGATGACAATGAAAATGATGTCATCAAGCACCAATTTTTAAAATGCCCAATTATTTTCTCCAGAAGAAATATGGAGTTTATCTTAATATTACACATTAAAACAGTTAAAAAATATTCTGGCCGGGCGCGGTGGCTCAAGCCTGTAATCCCAGCACTTTGGGAGGCCAAGGCAGGTGGATCACAAAGTCAAGAGATTGAGACCATCCTGGTCAACGTGGTGAAACCCCGTCTCTACTAAAAATACAAAAAATTAGCTGGGCATGGTGGCGCGTGCCTGTAATCCCAGCTACTCAGGAGGCTGAGGCAGAAGAATTGCCTGAACCCAGGAGGAGGAGGTTGCAGTGAGCCGAGACCATGCCATTGCACTCCAGCCTGGGTAACAAGAGCGAAACCCCATCTAAAAAAAAAATATATATATATATATTTTTTTTTTCAGAATATATATATATATATATTCTGAAAAGCAGACAGGCAATTTTGATACTTTGAGGAAGATGTGGAATTTTTTTAAAGATGAGTGATCGTTCACTGTATCAGCAAAAAACTTTAAATTACCCAATACATACCGAAGACATGGTCCATTTAATCATGTCTTAATCAGTTTAACAGACATTAGTTGAGCACCCAGGATGTGTCAGACCTGAGCCATGTTGCCCAGAAAACCCTTTTCCTTTGAGCCTAAAATGTAATGGTGTGGCTCTTGACTGCTGAAAGTTCTCCCACTTCTATCACCACTTCCACCCCAGGTGTAACCATTGTTTAAAAACTGGAGTATATGCTTCCAAATCTTTTTGCAATGCACACCATATAAAAATATTCTTTTTACAAATATAGTTACAAAAATTACTTTTTATGTTTCTAAATTTTTATTTATGTTTTAGAAATACGATCTTACTCTGTCACCCAGGCTGGAGTGCAGTAGCCTGATAATAGCTTGCTGCATCCTCAAACTCCTGTGTTCAAGGAATCCTCTTGCCTCAACTTCCCCAGTGGCTAGGACTACAGGCAAGCACCATGCCAGGATGATTGAAAAAAAAAATTTTGTAGAGACAGGGTCTTGTTATGTTGCTCAGGCTGGTCTCAAACTCCTGGCCTCAATCAATACCCCCCACTTCAGCCTCCCAAAGCTCTGGGATTATGGGCATGAACAACTATACCTGGCTCAAAAATGATTTTTTAAATTCTACACTATGTTACTGACATCTTTCTATGTTACTACATAAATACCTACCTTTTTAACAGTTACAGAGCATTTCAAAGTGAAGGTATTCCATTATTATTTCTTTTTTTTCCCATTATTATTTCTTATTTAGTTAGGCATGTCCTTATTGATGAACATTTAAATTGCCTATAATATACAATAAAAACGCTTTAATATTTACCTTTGTAAGCACCCATGACTTTTTTTTTTTTTTTTAAGAGACAGGGTCTTTCTCTGTCACCCAGGCTAATGTGCAGTGGCATGATCGTGGCTCACTGTAGCCTCAATCTCTCAGGCTCAAGCCATCTCCCTCCTCAGCCTTCTGAGTAGCTGGGACTATAGCCATGCACCACCACATCTTGATAATTTTTTTATTTTTTATAGAGATTAGGTCTCACTATGTTGCCCAGGTTGGTCTCAAGTGCTTGACCTCAAGTGACTCTCCCATCTTGGCCTCTTGAAGTGCTGGGATTATAGGTGTGAGCCACTGCAGATGGCCTCCTGTAACTGTTTCCGGAGGACAAATATCTAGATGTGAAGTTGCTGGATCATGTCATACACTTTTAATTTATACTATTTAATTGAATTTTAATAATCTATGTAGACCACCTTAAATCTATCTTGTAATATGGTATAAACACACGGAGTAAGAACTTTACTTTCAAAAGACACAAGACCAAGAGGGACCTTTTGTCTTCTCAGGAAGCCCACAGAACTGGAGGTGGGTCAGGAGTGTTTGGTGAAGGCAGAGCAGATGAAGGGATTTTATTCACTGTGGTCATCACTCTTCTTTGTAACTCTCTCTTGTTTAGACAACAGGAAACCATTTTGGACAACTGTCTATGGTTTGAACCAATATATAAAAGGAAGACATTCTAACGGATGAAGCTGCTCAACAACAGAACCAGAAATCTTCTGAGACAGTGAGCTTCCCATCACTAGAATGATTCGAGCTGAAGCCAAATGGCTTACAAGAGAGGTCACACAGTGTGCTGGTTAAAAGCACAGACCCTGGAGCCAGGATGCCTGGATTTGAATCCTGATTCTGATACATAGCTGGGAACCTTCGGCAAGTTACTTGACATTTTTGTGCCTCAGTTTCTTTCTCACCCACCCCCAGATGAAGTCTTGCTCTGTCATCCAGAAATGCAGTGCAATGGCGCGATCTTAGCTGACTGCAACCTCCACCTCCCAGGCTCAAGCAATTCTCCTGCCTCAGCCTCCTGAGTAGCTGGGATTATAGGCACGAGCCACCACACCTGGCTAATTTTTGTATTTTTAGTAGAGAGGGGGTTTCACCATGTTGGCCATGCTGATCTCAACCTCCTGACCTCATGATCTGCCTGCCTCTGCCTCCCAAAGTGCTGGGATTACAGGCGTGAGCCACCAAGTCTAGTTGTGCCTCAGTTTCTTCATCAGAAAATAGAAATAATAAAGTACCTACCTCATAGAGTTGTTATGCATCATTTTTTCTCTCCATGTTTAAATATACCTTTCAAAAGAAACAAACAAAGAAGAAATTGGTTTTCTAAGATTATATACCTTGTAACAGTTTTTTTGGTTTGTTTTGTTTTTTAATCCCCATAGAAGTTAAATCACTCAAAATAAGGTTGGGAGAGGGAAGGCCCTGAGAATAAAAAACTGATCAAGAACTTGGCTCTGAATACCTCAGGCCTAGGTCCATTCCAGAGTTAGGGGAGCAGCATCATAAATAGAGAAACTAACAAAACAAAATATATTTAAATACCTCTAGGAAATTCTCTACAGGGAAGTTGGAGGTCAAGCATCATATCTCATCATGGTGATGTGAAAAGAACACTGGATGGGAGTCAGAGACTAGGGTTTTAGTTACAAATCTGTCACTGTGCCACCATGGTCAAGTGACTTCACCTGCCTGAGCCTCATTTTCCTTAAAATAAAATCATCTCTATGCACTTACACCCATCCACTCCCCAAATCTGTGGTTCTAACAATCAGTACTCAAGTTCAGAAGACAGCAGCTGGGAAAGCCCCCTCACACTAAGACAAATGAAGGGCTGTGGTATGCAAAGCCCCTCCACCAAGGAAGCAAATCAAGGGAATCCTAGAGGGCTGAAATGTGGAATTGGGTGCTTTTTAAGGATTCCGTTCTCTAGGGAATAGCTTGACGTAGATGCTTTTTTCTAACCATAGATTGCCAAAACTGTAAAGTACCCACTCTTACCCTCTCATTCTGCAGGTTCACAAAGATTAACTAACCTGGCTGAGGTCATCCAGCCAGGAAGTGGCAGAGATGGGACTAGACCTCATGTCTGACAGGTCAGTTTTGCTACTACCCTTCTTATCTGGAAGTGTGGGGCTCAGGGCCTAGCACACAGCAAATGATCAGTTACATTTGGCTTTTAGTTAAATAGCATCCTGGACACAAGCTGGGCTGGGACTAAATTGAGGCAATAAGGCACTTGTGTCAAGGACAACATTTTAAAAGGGCAGGGAGCAAAATACTCAGTATTCTAAACAAATAATATTTTACAGGTTGAATATCTCTGATCTGAAATGCTTGGGACCAGGAATATTTTGGATTTCAGTATGGCCATTTGTTTTTGCATATACATAATGAGGTACTTGGGGATGGGACCCAAGTGTAAACACAAAATTGATTTATGTTTTCATATATACCTTATACACATAGTCTGAAGGTAATTTTATACAATTTTTTTGTTTTTGAGACGGAGTCTCACTCTGTCGCCCAAGCTGGAATGCAGTGGCACAATCTCAGCTCACTGCAACCTCTGCCTCCCAAGTTCAATCAAATCTTCCCCTCAGCCTCCTGAGTAGCCGGAATTATGCCTGCCACAATGCCAGGCTAATTTTTTGTATTTTCAGTACAGGGGGTTTCACCATGTTGGCCGGGCTGGTCTCAAACTCCTGACTTCTGGTGATCCACCCGCCTCAGCCTCCCAAAGTGTTGGGATTACAGGCCTGAGCCTCTGCACCTGGCCTACAATATTTTTTTAAATGTGCATAAAACCTAGTTTGTGTACATTGAACAATCAGAAAGCAAAGGTGTCACTTTCTCAGCACTCATATAGACAATCTGTGGTTGTTTGGCATCACCATCACTCCATTGGGGATACTGAATAAACTGTGTGCTGTGCGCCTGAGTTTTGACTGTGACCTGTCACATGAAGATTGATTGTGGAATTTTTCACTTGTGGGGTCATGTCACCACCCAAAAAGTTTTGGAGCATTTTGGATTTTGAATTTTCCAATTAGGGATACTCAACCTACAATGCACTATTGAAATGTTTTTTTAATCCATGATGAACAAAATACAAAATATAAAATTTTAATCAAAGACTGGATCTGACCCTGCACTTGCACAATCCTGTGTCACCCATCTCACCCTATTTCCTAGTTCAAATAAAATGTTGTTTACAAAAAAAGGCAACAGTCACAGTTTGCAAATATGATTGTTTAAAATGCTACATTCAAATATTATCCATCCTGTTCCAGTGGAGTGGCTCATGCCAGCACTTTGGGAGGCTGAAACAGACAGATCACTTGAGGTCAGGAGTTTGAGACCAGCCTGCCTAATGTGGTGAAACCCTGTCTCTACTAAAAATACAAAAATTAGCCAGGCATGGTGATGCATGTCTGTTAACCCAGCTACTCAGGAGCCTGAGGCAGGAGAATTACTTGAACCTGAGAAGTGAGATTGCAGTGAGCTGAGAGCTCATCACTGCACTCCAGCCTGGGGAACAGAGGGAGACTCTATCTCAAAAGAGAAAGAGAGGAAGGAGGGAAGGAAGGAAAAGAGAGAGTGAGGGAAAGAAAAGAAAGAGAAGGAAGGAAGAAGAGAGAAGGGGAAGGGGAAAAAGAAAGGGAAAGGAAAGAGAAAGGAAAGGAAGAAAAGAAGAAAAGGCCAGGTAGAGTGGCTCAAACCTGTAATCTCAGCACTTTGGGAAGCAGAGGCAGGATGATCACGAGGTCAAGACATCCAGACTATCCTGGCCAACATGGTGAAACCCCATCTCTACTAAAAATACAAAAATTAGCTGGACAAGGTGGTGAGAGCCTGTAGTGCCAGCTACTCAGGAGGCTGAGGCAGGAGAATCGCTTGAACCTGGGAGGCGGAGGTTGCAGTGAGCCTAGATAGTGCCATTGCACTCCAGCCTGTTAACAGGACGAGACTCCATCTCAAAAATAAACAATCTTGATTTCCATCCACTTTTGGATGGTTCCTTAAGTCATGTGTCCAATGCGTAATTTGGACTCTCCTAGTCAAGAAACTGGGTCCTCAGGCCCAGGTCATCAGGACATGTTGTACTTAGAATCCAAGGTTTCCTAACCTGGGGTCCATTCTCCACCCCGAGGTGGGAGTCTGTAGATGGGTTCCTCTGATTATAGGCAAAATACTGTGTTGACATTCTCTTCCCAGAGAAATGGCTCTTAGTTTTCGTCTAAATCTCAAAAAGACCCCAAAAAGGTTAAGAAATGCTGCCACAGAATGAGGCACTAAGTTTGCTTCTAATACTCTGAACCTACGCCCTCCGCCGCCCCATTTTCCTATGTCCCTCTTCCCAGACTAAAACGTGCCTCCTTAAAACATACCGCTCTGCACATTTTTTAGTTCGGGAATGGGGAGGCATTCCCACAGAAGTGCAAATGGCTTTATAGGACACGAAGCTCAAAGCACTGTTCAAAGCACTGTTCGTTCACTGAAGCTCAAAAGCCTTAGGCCAATGTAAAGTCTCCTACGGTAGCACTTAAACCAGCGAACACAGGCCTTTCCCCTCAAATCACACCTGTCACCATGCCTAACGGAGGCCTCCTAACCCTTCCCTGGTGTGTCACGACACCACCAGATGGCCACAATCAACACCCTTCCGACATGACGTGGGGCGTGAGCAAAGACAACACCTGCTTGAAAAAGTTATTAGCTCCATGAACCGAGAAACTCCGCAAGAGAGCTGCCTGCCTTCTCAGGTATTTGCCTCTGAAAAGCGCAGTCCTCAAGGCCGGAAGCGTGGGGGCGGTGCCCACGCGGGGGCTCACGGGAAAGGGGTGGGGCCGGGACACTTGAGCAGCTGCTCGGGTCAGGATTGAAAGTTGATAAGTGGTTCCCTGTTTCACTCTACCAACGTTACTGCAATCGAACTGGCAAATATTTGCCTTGGGATTAGAGTGACTGAAAATATTTGGTTGAAGCCAGATGCGTCGCGTGTCTGTCCCTGAAATATTAGCTAAAGGAGTGATTTAGCAAAATAAAATGGTGGGTGGGGCCCCTGCCTGGCGGAGCTGTTTACTTTACTCAGAGTGGAGCTTCTTACAATCCCGGAGGGAAGTTGAACAGCTGGGAAGCAGGCCAGACCCAGAGGGAGAAAGGGTCTGTTTTGGTTTGGGGCGGATAGTTTTACATAAATCAGAGATGTGAAAATAAACATATCTTCCTTAAAAGTTCATTGTAATATTCTCAAAACAAATGACTCTGGAGGTAAACTGTGAAGTGGTTTTGTTATATATAATTGTAGAGCTCATCTGAAATAAAGGCGCTTGCTGCTGTTCTCTGACAGGCTTGTCTGTTTCTGAGGTGTGGGGGAGCCATTTCATACAGCTCAGCGTTGTCCAACATGCCTACCGCTTCGTAGCTAGCAATGTGGTCACCTCTGTTGGCTCATTGTCTAGCAGTCTCACAGCCAGCACAAACCCAGGATGAGTTATCATTAGCTCTATTTTGTAGAGGAGGATCCGTTTCTGAGCCACAGCAAGACATGCCCAAGATCTCACAACTCGTGAGTGGCAGAGCTACGATTGGAACCCAGACTTTCTCTGGACCCCTTGAAAGTCCAGGTGATTGTGACAAGTCTTATAATTCTACATATGAGGGCAGTGCTGCTGATTGGGACACTGTGTGGCCAAAGGTAAACTCTTTTGCTGATCTTTTTTGCCATCTATGCAGTGCTGGGAGATACTGCTTATGAGGAAAATAAAACTAAAAATAAAACAAATGCAACTACAATAAGCTACTAGTAAAGAACTCAGAAGAAGTGGGCCGGGTGCGTTTGCTCATGCCTGTAATCCTAGCAGTTTGGGAGGGCGAAGCTGGCGGATCACTTGAGGTCAGGAGTTCGAGACCAGCCTGGCCAACATGGTGAAACCCCAAGTCTACTAAAAATACAAAAATTAGCTGGGTGCTGTGGCGGGCATCTGTAATCCCAGCTACTTAGGAGGCTGAGGTGGGACAATCACTCAAACCCAAGAGGCAGAGGTTGCAGTGAGCTGAGATCACACCACTGCACTCCAGCCTGGGTGACAGAGCGAGATTCGGCAACACCCCCCTCCAAAAAAAGTGAATATTTTATTTCTCTTTTTTTGTTTCCAAATGTAAAGAGAAAACAAGATTTGTAGGGGCATGGACTTGATAGTTTTTATTTCCTAAGGGCAGACACAAAGATTGAGAGGAGGCAGGCGGAGCGTGGTGGTTTATGCCTTTAATCCCAACAGGGAGGCTGAGTCGGGTGGATCGCTTGAGGTCAGGAGTTCAAGACCAGCCTGGACAACATGGCGAAACCCAATCTCTACTAACAATACAAAAATTAGTCAGGCATGGTGGCAGGCGCCTGTAGTCTCAGCTTTTCAGGAGGCTGAGGCAGGAACCCAGGAGGCAGAGGTTGCAGTGAGCTGAAATCACACCACTGCACTCCAGTCTGGGTGACAGATCAAGACCCTGTCTCAAAAACAAACAAACAAACCAGAGGAGGTAATTCAAACACCTGATACCTGTAACAGACTGTGTCCACTTTCTCCAACCCTAGCTTGCTTTTAAAACTATAATCTGTGTCTAAAGACATGACTTTTATTTTAAAAGGTTACTTTCCAATCAGTTACTTTGTAATAACTGATTGTCTTTCATTAAACTAATAATTTTTCTAGAACTGACTCTGTTTATACAAGCCATGTAATATGTAATTACAGTTATCAAAATGCAATTTCCAACTTCCCAGTCACTTGGCCTAGAAACCTTGAAATTAACTTCTGCCCCACCTTTACCACTCACATCCTGCTCAAAACTTTTAGTGGCTTCCCTCTGCGATGAGACAACTGCCTAACTCTAGCATGGCATTCAAGACACTCCTTGGTCTGTCCCAACCTAACTGAAAGGGGAGCCAGGAGTCCTTGAGGTCTAATTCCAGCTCCACCACTGAATAACTGAGAGGACTCCCCTGTCTCTGTGAGCCTTAGTGCCTTCATCTGTCAAATAAGTGTATTGGGATAAATGATTCACTGGCCTTTGTAACTGGAACATTCCTGGAATCTGCTCTTCTAGCCTTCTTTCCTGTGTCTTCCCTTCACGTATCACATGCTGTGGCCCCTAAGCACCCAGACACTTCAAATGCTTTGAACATTCCCACTCCTAACTTCCTGCCTTTATTTAGAATGCCCTTTCCCTCTTCTCCAGATGACCAAATCCTTCACTTAAAGACTCAAAGATACTGCCAACCCTCCCAGGAAGTTTCCTCAGTTTCCTTGATAGGAAGTCATTTATTTAGCTGAGGAACTGCATAGCCTCGTATCTGACACCACCACTACCCCCTTATATGTAAATAAGCCATATCTAGATTATTTACATACCATCAGGGTCTAGGTCATCTTTGTGTCTTCTCCAATGCCAGGTTAAAAGAAGGCATTTAACCAAATAACAGCAGGTAATAAATGGTTATTAAATGTTAATCAATATTAACTATCGGCAAGTGGTAAATACATATTAAATTATGAACTACTATTTTTAATACTAATGATGATAATAACAGATGTTTGTTGAATAAGTAAATGAATGAAATAAATTGCAAGCCAAAAAGCCTATAAAAATATGCCAAGGCATCCCTAGAAACAAAGCCAAAGGACATACATTCCCTGGAAACATCCAGGAAACAGAGCCAGTTTTGAGGCCAAGGTTTCCAGCTGCACATGTGTAGATATGTTTAAATTTAAAGTAGAACCATAGGAATCTTAAAGTTTTGAATGGGTAGTTTACATCAGATTTTATTTATTTTTTTATTTTTTATTTGTTTTTTTTATTTTTTTTATTTTTTAATTTTTTATTGGATTATAGGTTTTGGGGTACATGAGCAGAGCATGCAAGACAGTTGCGTAGGTACACACATGGCAGTGTGCTTTGCTTTTCTTCTCCCCTTCACCCGCATTTGGCATTTCTCCCCAGGCTATCCCTCCCCACCTCCCCCTCCCACTGGCCCTCCCCTTTTCCCCCCAATAGACCCCAGTGTTTAGTACTCCCCTTTCTGTGTCCATGTGTTCTCATTTTTCATCACCCACCTATGAGTGAGAATATGCGGTGTTTCATTTTCTGTTCTTGTGTCAGTTTGCTGAGGATGATGTTTTCCAGATTCATCCATGTCCCTACAAACGACACGGACTCATCATTTCTGATTGCTGCATAATATTCCATGGTGTATATGTGCCACATTTTTCCAATCCAGTCTATTATCAGTGGGCATTTGGGTTGATTCCAGGTCTTTGCTATTGTAAACAGTGCTGCAATGAACATTTGTGTACATGTGTCCTTATAGTAGAACGATTTATAGTCTTTTGGATATATACCCAGTAATGGGATTGCTGGGTCAAATGGAATTTCTATTTCTAAGGCCTTGAGGAATCGCCACACTGTCTTCCACAATGGTTGAACTAATTTACACTCCCACCAACAGTGTAAAAGTGTTCCTTTTTCTCCACATCCTCTCCAGCATCTGTTGTCTCCAGATTTTTTAATGATCGCCATTCTAACTGGTGTGAGATGGTATCTCAATGTGGTTTTGATTTGCATCTCTCTGATGACCAGTGACGATGAGCATTTTTTCATATGATTGTTGGCCTCATATATGTCTTCTTTCGTAAAGTATCTGTTCATATCCTTTGCCCACTTTTGAATGGGCTTGTTTGTTTTTTTCCTGTAAATCTGCTTGAGTTGTTTGTAAATTCTTACATCAGATTTTAATCTCATCACCATGAAATTCTACATTCTTCCTATTTGAATAAATATCCTCACATACTGAATACTTAAAAAAAAAATGAATCCTTAAAATTTCAGAAACAGGATGGCTCCTTTATTAGTTTACCTGAAAATGATATATAAATGAATTTCAAATTCAGTGATCAAATATGACACCAAGCTACCTCAAGTATTTTAATATATAAATGTCTACAGGAATATGCCTGGTTGGAAACAGTCATTGCAAATGAATGAAGGCAAGAAGCTGCTGTTGAGCACTGTGGAGCAAGACCTGCAGTTATGAAAAGAAAATGTCTCTGGGTCTCCAGGAAACTTTTTTATTGTATTGTTGCTTTTTGAGATGGAGTCGTGCTCTGTCACCCAGGCTGGAGTACAGTGGCCAAATCTTGACTCACTGCAGCCTCCACCTCCTGGGCTCAAGCAATTTTCCTGCCTCAGCCTCCTGAGTAGCTGAGACTACAGGCGCTCACCACCATGCCTGGCTAATTTTTGTATTTGTATTTATTATTATTATTATTATTATTTTGAGATGGAGTCTTTCTCTGTCTCCCAGGCTGGAGTGCAGTGGCATGATCTCTGCTCACTGCATCCTCCACCTCCCAGGTTCAAGCAATTCTTCTGCCTCAGTCCCTTGAGTAGCTGGGACTACAGGCACCCACCACCATGCCCAGCTAATTTTTGTATTTTTAATGGAGATGGGGTTTCAACATGTTGGCCAGGCTGGTCTTGAATTCCTGACCTCAGATGATCCATCTGCCTAGGCCTCCCAAAGTGCTGGGATTACAGGTGTGAGCCACCATGCCTGGTTCAAGAAAACATTTGACCATGAATTCGATTCAGCACCAAATCCTTACCTTGGCTAGTGAGAGGGTACAGCAAGCATTAGTGAGGATAGGAATGGAGAAATGTTTCTAATACTGCTTTTCTTTCTTTCTTTCTTTCTCTCTCTCTTTCTTTTATCTTGCTTTTTTGCTTTCTTCTTTCGTTTCCCCGTCCCTCCCG